CCAGTACATGGGGGAAGTTCACTTTTGAAAAATTCTAAAAATACTCGTCCCAAGCACATTTTGTGTCCTTGGATGAAGTCCACATCTGCCGATAGAGTAGAAATAGTACTGGGAGCAAGTAGCTTCACCACTTTTTGCCAGTACTTTTTGTACTTTTCCCAAGACCAAAGGTATTAGTGAAAAGTAATTTTTCAACTTCTCTCAAGTACTTTTAGGACTTAATTTCAGTACTTCGAATTGATTACTTTATTGAGAAAAGTGAATATTATTTGTGGATAGAATGGGCTTTTTTGCGCATTTTTGTAAATAGAAATCTTCAGCAGAAGGTATTTTGTAAGAAAAATTCAATAGATTGCGATTTTTATGGATGCTTTCGAGAATTATTGATATGCTAAATTATTATTATTTGGTATTATTATTATTGTTTCTAAATTTTAGAAACCGTCATTTCTAATCTTCAGTTTTCTAAAATCTAGAAACTTTTTTCTAAGTTTTAGAAAAAAATCAACTCTCACATATAAAAGCACCCCATGTATACCCCCCTCCCATATAACCTCCTCCCATGTATAACCCCACCCCCTTTCCATATATGAACCCCCCATATACGAGCTCTCCTCCCATAAATAAAATAAGCCATATAAACCTCTCCTCCCAATAATTAAGCCCGTCCTCAAGAAATCCCCATGTACGAAACCCCTCATATTCTCTACTCACATCTGAAACTCCCGATATTTGGACACCTCTCCCTATATATGGGGCACTTACGCCTTTTGAATACCTAGGCCGCAATTTTTTAGTTCATTTTGAACATTGTCTAAAATTAAGAAGAATTAAGCATTGGTTTTAGAAAATATTAGTTCTTAAAAACAATCCCCAAATTCTTCAGTTTTTATGATCCCACCAAGGATAAAGAGCTTCAGAACAGGATTTTCTAAAATCTAGAAACTAGTTTATACAGCTAACCCACTTTTTTCCTCTGTGCACTTATATTGAGCTTATTTGGTACTTTTGAAAAGAACCAGCCAAATTACCGACGTCGGTGGCCGAAGTGGCTAGGTGCGAGCCTAGTGTGCGAAAGGTTGTGAGTTCGATTCCCGTGGAACCGATTTTTTCAACCGGAGGCTCCGGCGAGCGGGAGGTCACTAATATAGTGACCCCCTGTACCGGCATGGGTTTCCTGTGGTTTCCCATGCTACTCCTATGTTCTATAGGAGTGCGAATGCGGTGCAGTGTAGAATCCACAGCCGCATGCATAGGGTTGGATAGGGCCGATTAGCCAATCAGAGGGCAGAAAGGGCCGGAATATAAAAAAAAAAACCAGCCAAATACTCAGTACAAGTACTTTTTTACTTGTCCCAAGTAATAAAATACTTGTGACAAGTACTGAGGTACTTCTCACCAGTACACAGGTACTTGGTGCATGATACTTGCATCAAGTTATTTTGTGAGTACGAGGAAGTACAAAAATGTGCCTTTTCCCCAGAAATCCCTTGGTACTGAATACAATTACTTTTTCTACTGATCAAAAGTAATTTTTTTTGGGAGCAGCGATTCACGGACGCGTAGCTTTGAATGTGTAAATTACCAGTTTATAGACGTTGTGCGCTTAGAGTCTTTTACCTAACGAGTTAGTAAATTACATTTTTGGCGAGTGTGAGGTTTACCGTCACATGTCATTTACTATGAGTTAATTAAAATTTTTTTATGACACAAAGCCCGATAAACCGCAATTCTAGTGACAGAATAGTACATTATTTCATCGAGCGCTAATACTTTTATCGCCGTGTGACATATTAGTATATTTCGATACGAATGAGATGGAATTTTCACGAGTGTGAAGTTGCATTGAATTTTCAGAGTGTGAAATTTTCACGGGTGTAACAAGGCGAAGCCGAGGGCTGCCCACCACACGAGTTGAAAATTCCCGTCTCACATGTGTCCAACAATATTTTTTGACAGTGATGTTACGTTCAACGAGAGACTGAACTGTGCCTTTTTCGTTTAGAAGTCAACGAAAAGACTTTTCGCGTCTAGTGCTACAGGGGTTTTCGGCTCGGCGCGCGAACCTTCCACTAGCCGAAAACCCCCGTGGCACTCGACATGAAATATACATGACATGACATGAATATTATGTCATTGGACCCGAAAACCACGATCTGACCGACCGAATCATGTATGAAAAAATCCTATGCGATATTCCTATAGCGTATTCTATAGGATTTCCTATAGCATATCTTATAAGATTTTCTGTAAGATTTCATATGAGATTTTCAACAAAGTTTTCTATAAAATTTAGGGGGAATTTAGGGTCACAATAAGGTTCAAATATGTCATATAGGGATCATGTGGGGGTCATATGGGGGTTATATGATTTGAAATGAGGAAATAGCTAGTAACCGAATAGCTCAGTTGGGAAAGCACCCGATGCATGATCCAAAGGTCCCGGGTTCAAACCCTGGTTTGGACTATCTACTTTTTTCAATAAAAAAATTTTCTGGTCATTCATATTGAGAATAATTTTGGTTCCCCTCCTACCTCATCCAAATCCCATCCAATCATTTTCCTATGACGTCACAAAGATGTGGAACGCTATATAAATTCTCATCTTTAATGTGATGGTAATAGGAGGATAAAATGAACTGAAGATCATTTGATCCTCATATTACCATATGACCCTCATATGGTCCCATGTGATCCTCATATGGCTCTTACATGATCCTCTTACATGACCTCTATATGAACCCCATATGACCCTCATATAATCCTCACATGACTCATATGACCCCTACATGACCCTTACATGACCTCCATATGACTCTTGACTCTTATGACCCTAGATTTCATAAGAAATCGTATTGAAAATCTTACAGGATATCCTGTAGGAAATCGTATAAGACATCCTGTAGGAAATCCAATAGGAATAATATGTGTAACGAGATTTTCTCGTTACGGTAAACTGTTTTACCAACGCGAAAAAACCATGAGTCAAGGATGGTTATAGTGAGGGCAACAGTAAGGAACGACATCTAACGCCAGCTGCAGAAGCTGAGCGAGAGATGAGAGTGACATCGAGCGGCGGTTCAAGTGAACCGCGCGTGAGGTGAATAGACCAATCAAATAATGCCAAGAGGCGTGGTTTGGGTGAAACCATGCTTCTGAACATTATAGAGAGGCTGTCGATACGCTGTCGCCATATTTAGAAACTCGCCCAGCTGTGTTTGGGGAAAATGGGCCAACGTACTGGCGTTCCAACTGGGCGATTCTAGAGGCGCTATCGACTTAGACTATAGTCTATATTCCCTATAGGGACCAACGGCTAGGTGAGCTGATTGGTGGTGGTGGGGTAACGGATGACCCACCGCCGCTGAAATGTTCAGACTAGGGGGGGAAAGCCCTAGTAGATTTCGAGACAGTCGGTGACAGGCACTGGAGTTGAGCGGATGGTTTTCCGGTTACTCGGCACAGTGGTTAGTGGCATTAATCCGTATGGATTATGGGGGTCCGTTGTGAGGACAAGACCGAAACAGCGAGAGAATGGGACGCTTCGGCGTCCCAAATAGAATGATCGGATTACTTTGAGGACGTGGGATGTTTTAATTCCATATTCTCAGGGATCCATCACTTCGGATGAAAGAAGTGGTGTTGGCGTGGATCCGTGGGTCAGGAGTTAGGCTGACTCCTGGAGGCCCGATCGCACGTGCCTCCACGACGAGTAATCTGGGTGTTGGCCCGCGATGATAATGCTTTTACCGAGCATTGAGGTTTAGTTGGGGTTTGCACAGGTGGATGAGAATAAGTCTCCGGATACCTGTGTCGCATGTACCTCTCAATGTTCGGCGCTCCGAGGAGTGAGAAGGATTCGCAGGTAATGGTCGACCTCTCCAGAGTTGAGCCACTCTGGAGAGGAAAGAAATACGTGAGAGGAATGGAAACATCCTCGGCGAAAGATACATGGAGGAATGGCTCCTGAAAGATAAGCTTTATCGAAATCTCTCGCCTGAAAAGACGAAGATCGATCGAGTGAATTACTCCTAGTATGGTGGACCTCGCCCACTCTACCGTATTACGCTGATGCTGGCTCGGCATATTTAGTCCCGCCACGAGAAGTCCTCAGGGTAGACGAGTTATCCTCTGAGGCCGGTTTACCGTTGGATTCTCCATGAAAATCCAGCTGGCGCCCAACAATGGAGCGATAGAGAAGATGCCAAACTAGTTTGGGATATTTGCTGGTGAAGCACCGGCAAAAATCTCTTACATATGATAGGGGATCCTGTAAGAAATCCAATAGGAAATCCCATAGAATCTTTTCATACGTTAAGATAGGTTAGAAACTCGTGGCAAATTACGTTCTTGGCGAGTGTGATTATAACCCTCACTTTTAGTTCAAGCTGCCAACCTTATATTCACCACAAATCGTCATTTACCAACTACTGAGGTAAATAGTGGATTTCGTCATAAGACAGAAAAAAACTTTTCTGGTAAATGTGGGTTTGCATCTCAAGTTGAAGGCGAGGCTTGTAATCATATGAGCTAAAAAAGTTTTTCTAGGCCGTATGACGAACAATTTTTGTTTTCATAACGGCTGTAAGCAGTGATTTCCTGACGTGTAAAATACTACAGTCAGTTTGCTTGATTTCTTCAATAACAGAAAAAAAAGAATAGAGTGAAAAAAAATTGCAAAATTTATGTCGAAGAATTTTTTTAGAAAATGTCTCAATGAAAAAGTTATTTCAAACAGTCACATTCTATCGATTTTTTCTATAAAAAAGTTACTATTGGCTATTTTCTATTAAAACAAATGTATGGGAAAACTCCGGAATTTATCAATAGGATCGGTGAAAAATTCATAGAACTTGCAATAAAAGTCCAATAGAATTTACTAGCGAATCTGTTCTCATCAATCAATCCTGATTAATGAGAACTCCCCGCCTGAATTTCCTCCGTTCTCTCGAGACGACAATATAAAATTTTGGAGAAATTAATTGTTTCTTCCGTTGTAGGAGGATCTGGAACTAGCAACAAATTCGAAGAAGCAAGAAGGAAACGTGAGGAGAGGAAATTAGCAAGACAACGGCAAATGGAAGCAAAAAGAGCGGCAAAACTGCGGACTACGACTGCTGCTAAGAAAGTTTAATCTATTTTTGCGATACCTGCCTCCAAAGTTCACTTTTCGAAACGGTTTAGTGTGCGTAAAGTTCGTAGGTCGTGCATAAAGTGGATTCCCTTGAACGTTACGCACTCCGTGCACAAAAATAACCAATTTACGCCCACTACCGTTCCGAACAGTGAACTCGGCAGGTATCATAAAAAATAGGATGTGTTACGCGTGCGTGGGAAAAAGTTGTTCTTCATGCACTTGTAACACAACATACTATTTTTAAATGATCGATGAATCCATTCAAGTTATAGTAGATTACATCAATAGGCTCACAAAGTATTTTTCAGCAAATTTGATTATAATTTTCACCTTTGGCTGGAATTATAAACTCAAGTTTGTCAGAGAATCTTTTGGAGATCATGTGATACAGACGATTTTAAGATTCTGGGCCCAAAAGCTGCCATCCAGCCGAGCGAAGCGAGGTTAAAATTGCAGTTTATGGGACCAGAAGACTTAATAATTAATTTAGCGTCATCTACATTCTCAAGAATAAGTATATTATACAACTTAAATAAGTGGATGATTATTATTATTATTGAATAAACATTTCCATGTGTAAGCATTATTAGAAGATTCTTAGAAAATTCCTAAGATTCTCAGGAATGAATAAAGGTGCACTAGCGAGATTCCAATCTTTGGGCCACATAATATCTACTATAGCACGAACCGAAGACTACAACCTCTCCAGTATGACAATATATCGAAAATCATAATCGAGATTGTTCAGTAACAGCCTCAATCCTCATGTGCATAGCATTCGCATTTCCTGGTTCTCGTTTGAAGCCCAAAGTCTCGTAAAATGGAATTAAGTGATCACGACAGTCCAGAGATAATTTGTAGCACTGTAGACGTTTGGCTAACTGAGCAATTGTTGTTACTAACAATTTTCCAAGTTGTTTGCCTCTGTAGGATGTGTTCACGACTACATCTTCCAGTCTTCCTTTCTGCGAGGGGTAGAAAAAACAAAAAATTTTAATTAATAAATTTCAAAAATTTGTTCATTTCTCTTAAATTTTTTTGAATGTGACAATAAGAGGAGAAAGCAAAGTACCCAAAGGAACCCTTTCTGTGTAGCAAAGTAAGAATTACAAGAAAAAATACCTTTTTTGTCACTGGCCCGATAAACCGCGATTCTAACTTCGTTTCGCTCGGTTAGATCGCGGTTTTCGGGCCAATGGCGAAAAACTACATTCATCACTCGGTCCACAACGTTTTTTTTGACGAATGTGATTGTAGTATGATTGTAGTGTGATTGTATAAAGCTACAATCGTCAGGAAATAGGTTGTGGACCTTATGATGAAAATTACCTATACTTGTTTTCAAGAAAGGTTCCTGGAAAATCCTATAATTTCCTTCCAATGCTACTACGTCCATATCAAAAGGGCCCACTTTGTTACATCTATTTTCCGAGAAATTCACATTTGTATCTTCGTAATTCCCACTTGTACCAATGATAAATTATTTTACTGATCTTCTGTAACGACGTAATCTTCCACCCTATCGTTTTGGGGGTGAAATGTATACAGAATCTTATCAATATTATCGGAGTTATACATAACTCCATATCGGCAGTGGGCCCTCTTCACGTGAACGTCCATGAGTCGTCCATAAGCTTACTCCGTAAGAGTTTGCATACATTAGGTCGAGATATTTTTTCACTATTACAACGTTCACGTTGTACCGAAATGTACCTTTTCTTTTACTTGTAAACGAATAGTATATTTCAATACAAGTGCGACGGATTTTTCACGAGTGCGAAATTGGAAGTGCGAACCGAGGTGAGGGCTGCCAATCATACGAGCTGATAATCTCTTTCGGTCATTTGCCAAGCTATTTTTTGTTAGTGATGTTAAATTCAACGAGTGGCAAACTATGCCTTTGTTCGTTTGCAAGTGAACGAAAAGGCACTTTTTGTCATTCCATCGTGACAAAAAATATTGTTCGTCATACGGCCAAAATAGTATATTTCGATACGAGTCCCGGACTCATAATTTCCAATTGAAGGACATGAAAACCGTTACACAACTCATCCCTTGTAATGTATTTACGTGTAAATGTCTCGAAGACGCATTTTTGCTTGCGAAGGGAAGCTTTTTAATCGTTCATTTTTATGATCTCCTAATTTCGCTTGGAAATGACGGAGAATGTCATGAAACGTCAAGATATGAAATTTTTAGAAAATGGGTGTGTGTATGTTAGTGTGCGGATTTTTCGAAATTTTTTTATAAATTTCCAGGAAAACTAACAGAGTTGCGAGCCTATTCGACAGAACCGAGAGACCGTTATTTTTTTTGTTATTAGTCTTTTTAATTCTTCATCTCTACCAATTTCCTTGGTAATAAGCTTCCGAATGGATCTGTCGCAATAGTTCTATGATACATTACCGTGAAAATCCTTCTTGGAAAGTTTCCTATATTTTTTTCTATGCCAATGTCCGTTATTATTTTTATCGTTATTTTAATTTATTGGAATGGTAAGTTATTTATTATTTCTAAGATTATTATTCTTCATAGCGAGAGATAATATATCTATAATCACACTTATTAAATTAATACATATTCTATTTTTATTTCTTTGTTTGTATGTTTATAAATTTTTTCAACAGTCTCACTTGCCCCAAATGTTTTCAATGTAATCAATCTGTATCCACCTGCATGGTGGATAGCAAGAACATAATTGAAAATTACGAAATCGAAAATTCACTCTCAGAACATCTGACCCTTAAAGCTTATAAACTAAAAATTTTTGATCGTTACAAAATTCGACCCTCAAAATATACGACCCTCTACACATTCGTGTCTATCACAGTATTAACCCTTTCTGTTACCAAGTCTACAACACGCTCAATACTCTTCGCATCCCATATTTTCTGATGAATGAAAAATTATAAATAAAATATATGATTGAAGCTACAGTATTCACCTTCCCAATGGTGTAAGTCCGATTGTATTATCTGCCATAGTTTCGGAAATATTCAATTTTGAAAAGAGCCGTACGTTTTTGCATGGGTCGGTATGACATACCGAGCCCGTACGTGAGGGGTTAAACACTGCCATAATATGAAGCAAAAAAGAACATAATTTTATGGTAGATGACGTGTCAAGTCGTACAGATTTGAAAATTATTAAAAGAATGACGATGTTTCATTTTTTGACAAAAACTATTTTCAGTTAAATTGCTCTATCCCAAAATTGGAAATCAAACGAACTTACCTGTAAGTGACGTTCGATTGTAGTTGTATGAAGGCTCGTTCGAAAGGATTACAATCTTTGTAATAGCTGGTAGTACCGCCGCTTATGCAAGGTCAATTCAAAAGTTTAGAGAGCAATTTGAAAAAAGTGCGCCCCGAGGGCTTGGTGGTGCCCTCTTCGATGCCTTAATTTTCATATTGTTTAGAGTCCTACAATAAATGAAAAGCGTAAAAATATGCATTTATAAGGGTGGGTTTTGGAAAAATTATTTTTTTGGGGTGGGTGCTTTCGTGCTTGACCCAAGGCCCAAAGGCCCCAGCCAGCTAGGTTTTGTTCCATCATGAAGAGACTGTTGTCACTTTTGTCATCTGTAAAAGAAGACCAACAATTTTTCAATGCACTGGTTGTCTTTGCCTCCTTCGTGCAAAAGTCACCAGCCATAAGCCAGCAGCAACGTGAGATCGCTCATGACGATGACACGTGGCCCGTGGAAAGTACAACGTAGTTTAGAAAAAATTACGACCAAATTTTTACCTTTCGAGGTTACGTCGCTGGTGCGTTCCCGTTTTTTCTACAATTTTCTCATCTTCTTAAGAATTTCTTCTTCTCAGACATTTTCTCCGTTTCTCTTCTTATTTTTAGACATTTTGTACTCAAAAAAATGTCAAGATGATAACAGTAATTTATTATTTTCGGAATTTTAATGCTCTCTAACATGTGTCTCTACCAAGCACAAAAAACGTTATGAAAATTAAGGCATCGAAGAGGGCACCACCAAGCCCTTGGGGCGCACTTTTTTCAAATTGCTCTCTAAACTTGTGAATTGACCTTGCATAAGCGGCGGTACTATCAGTTATTACAAAGATTGTAATCCCGAGAACGAGACTGAAATATAATGAGAATCAATCAGCCCAAAATTTCATGGCCGTGGCTAAAGGTACTATGCGTGAAACACGCAAGGTCTGCGTATTATACGCAGGTCTTGTGTGGTACACGCAGGTCTTGCGTATTACACGGAGGCTGTGCGTATTACCCGCAGGTCTTGAGTATTACATGCAGGTTCTGCGTATTACACGCAGGTCTTGCGTATTACATGCAGGTCGTGCGTATTAATTGCGTATAATACGCAGAGCCTGCGTGTGCTACGGAAAACCTGCGTGTTATACGCAGAGCCTGAGTGTAATACGCAGTGCCTGCGGGTAATACACAAGACTTGCGTGTAATACGCAAGCTTGCGTGTTTCACGCATAGCACCTTCAGCCACGGCCTTGAAAATAATGTGCAGAAATAAGGGTTAGAGTTGAGGGTCAAAATGAGTTAGAAAAACTAAGGTAAAAAATGAGTGATTTCGGGCTTCTAACATTCGTCCATTGGAATTTGTTTTATGAAATGCATGGTAAATTAATGATTTATTGAGTTACTCGTTCAATAAACGATTAATTTACCATGCATTTATAATTTATGTATTGAGCAAATTTGCATATCGATAAATTAATATATAAATCAATAAATTTATGAAATCAATTTATAAATCAATTTATTATGATTATTTACGTCTCTGACAAGACTCCAAAATGGTGTTACATTTTTTATCTTCATCGCTACACCGATCTTACATTGACAGTGGATCTAACACCTCGCGGGACTTAAACTAACCTAAAGATTTTAAAATCAGATCCTTTTCCGATCTTAAAGTTGCACTCTTAAAATTTGAGGTCTGAACGGCGTGTTCAGATCGGATATTGATCTCATGTTAAGATCAGATATTGATCTGGTTTTAAGACTGTTTACCGAACTTACGATCTTAGATCTTAGTTTCAGACCACACGTAAGACCGGAGTTTTTCCAGTAATGTAATTGGATTTTGATTGGATGCTGAGCAAAATTGTCTCAACAGATTTCTTGTTAGAAGGACGGAAATTTCCAAATTTATTCATTTTTCCCAATAACCTGGGTAGAAATTCAACCGGGGATTCAGCCGCAACTCGGGTGAGCGCGAGCTCAGCCTCGGCTTGCCGCTTGACCCGAGTTCACGCCGCGACACGCCGCTCCATACCGGCTCACAGTCGAACGCTCATCAGACGGCATAACCCGGCACTTGAGTTTGAGCTGTGGCTCAACGCTTAGAACTCAGCTCCGATTGAGTCGTGTCGTTTCGAGTGGAGGGTGGAATAGAATGATATTTATGCATTTTTAGAATATCGATTTAAAATTTGAATACTTTGGAAAATCAAGAAAAATCGAGCGGAAAACACTTAGAAATCTTACGCCTAAGAAAATCTATAGGAACATAAAAACCTATTTACTTTCTTGCACCAAATTTTACCTTAACAAAAAGACTCTATGAAGTTGCATAATCTCCTATAGAATCGGCGCAAGAAACGAATAGAATTCTAATAGAACTTCCAGAGAATTCTCATAGAATTCCAATAGAAATTTAATAGAAAGCGCTAGGTTTTTCTGTTGAATTTTTTCATGCGTGTTATTTTGGCATACCTGTATTCAACATTTCCCTAATAAATCGTAGAATATTCTTAGAACTCGTAGGCCTATCGAAAAATGAAGAATATCCTCTCCTGTAGCGTTGATAATTAATAATAAAGGTTCGTTAACGTTTTTCAAGTGATTATTTTTCTTGATTTTGTTTGTTGTATTCGCGAGAAAAAAGAAAGTTTTGACTACGTTTCAGTGAATTGTTCTACCTTGTATTTTCAGATTAATCCCATTCGATTAGTTAACATCACGTTATTTC